AATATAAGCCATATTCTCCTGTTCTCTTTCTTTCGTAAAAACACGCGCTTGTACGAGCTTTCGGAGGATTCGATGAATTTTTCTAGGCTATCGATATCAACGATCGGCCTGACATGATCTCGCGTCGCGTGTGTAGGCATACATTGCGTCTCATGACTACAGCGGGGGATCAGAAAAGTATCGGTATACTTCTAGCTTTCTCGCATTTGTGGAAACGAATACACGAACAAAAGTTGTTTTCACAAACAGTTCACCACGTACAAAAGTGATGTGTATATAATGAGTTGTACAATGATATAGTACAAGTAATATAAAAATTCGAGGATCAAAAAGAATCAAGTATCGACACACGAGGGCACGTATTTGAACAGAATATAAAATATCTTTAATTTTATCTTCCCTGATGATGCTGACGCAGTATCATTCGCGAAGAAAGATATTTTGTAATTTTTTTTTCTAATAACACTCGGCCATTAAATGTTGATTAAGAACTGCAAGTGTGTCAATACTTTTTTGACTCTCGAGTCTTCGTATTCGTTGTATTATTATTGCATTATCAAGTCGTTATTGGAAATTGCTATCGTGTATGTTAGTTTTGTACGTAGTGAAACGGATTTTGCTAATATGTTATTTGTTTTCACAAAGGTACGCGTTAATACTTTTTAGATTCATTGTATAAAACTTCATTCAATTTTTATATGTTGTGTTACGTATATAAAATGGCCGTTGAAAAGCTACATCGATAAACTGTGAAGTAATAATAATCTCAAGTGCTATTCTCCTTTTCAATTTATCTCTGAATTTATGTGGTCTTTTTTGATGAAAATAAATCGCTTCTGTCTTGAATAGAGAATTGAATGAAGTGGGTGTTACACGGTAAAATTTAGAAATTGATACAAAGTGAAGTTGGTCAATTTGGCTTTGACTCGTGTACGAGCAGTTTAGAAGCCACATTGATTCAATTCTATAGATTGAGAAGCAGAAAAATGTCGCGACGTAGCAAGCAGTATCTTCTAAATTTATTAACTTTATTCTCTGGTGTTTTGATATTTTCTTGTAGTTGAGAAACTTACGGAAGTAAGTTTGTCTGTTGGTCTGTTTCTTGAGAATTTAAATATTAATTACGTGTCCTCATGTACTTTTTGACGCACTAACTTAGAAATTGATGCAAAATGGCGTTTCAGAAATCTAAACCACTTTAATTAACTCGGTAAATCGAAAAGTAGAGTAAGAAAAGCAGAGAAAGAAGTAGTAACGTTGCAAATGTATTTTTTTTTTTTAATTTATCTTTGCTATCATTTCTGCTACTCTTTTATATTAAATGAACTTATGGAAGTAAGTCACTTGTTTATGAAGATTGTATTAGAGACATTGCTGATTTTTTGATTTTACTGTCACTTCATGATCAGACAGAAGGATTCTACTGTGAAATAATCGAAAATTAACGAGTAGATTATAAGTTATAACCTTCACGATATTTAATCCAAAATTATGTGTAGAAACGTTTCTTCCTTTCGGTAGAAAACAGAATATTTTATTACAGGAAAATTGAATTCAGAATTTTCGAATATTCTGAACGTTATTAGTCTTGTCTCTACATTGAGAAATGATTTAAATACGGCAGAGCTGTTTGAATGATCCGAAAAGTACTATACAACAATTAAACAACAAAATACCTTTCAGACATGAAATAATATAACACACGTTACTGACTTATCACAATTAATTTTTTATCTTTTAACGAGTAGTAGTTACATTCTTCTAAAAAGCCACAATCTTTGAGTTTTCACGATATACACACATTTTGCTGTTTATCTTTTCAAATGAGCTTCGACTCATAAAATTTGATTGAGAACGACACTCTAACTCCCATTATATAAGACTCGAAAATTTTAGAATTCTCGTACACCTGTAGTTGTGAGACGCGATGCACGCGTGCGTGTGTGCGTATATGCATGTATTATTCGTCGTATTGTTCCCTATATTTACATACAAGTTCTGCCACGTATAACACCAGTGCAATACTTATATTATACATGCACGCGACACTATCCGCGTCCGATAAAAATCCTTGTCTTTTAAAATCCGATCGATCGCTTGGCTATTGAATCCATTTTGCACGTTATCATCTCTCCAAATATATTTTTCCAAACGACTAACCTTGTTGTTGTTGTTGCTGCTGCTGCCGCCGCCGCCGTGTATGTAGTATGAAAAAACTCACTCGAGAAACGATCGAACATATCACACCAAAGTATCAAAGGTATCAACGAGGGATTTAATCGGCAAGAATGACTTGCCAAGTGGCAACTTACGTCGTCGGTTGGTTCTTATTTGGCACACACCGCGTGGGTCGATCGTTTTGGTCAGTGTTTTATACCACGTAAGGTCGATAGAGCGGCTCCTGAAGCTCGGTCGTGCTCCTCTGCGCCTCCTGCAGACTCGTCCCCTTGGCATCCTCCTGTGGACTCGGCGAATTCGGATTCGGATCACCGCCGGCATCTCTCTCGCTGTTCCTCACGTTCCCTTCCCCGTCCTCCACCTTGTTACCCGCCCGCGCCTCTTGTTGCGCCTTTTTACTCCTTTTCCACTTCATTCGCCGATTTTGAAACCAGATTTTCACCTGAATTTTATAATTACACGTGATAACGTACGGATGTAAGATTCGAATCGATCAGACTGCGGACTTCGGCGTGTTTTGCAATTTTGTAAGAAATTGTATAATACGAGAAGAATATAGTTGCCAAACTATGTCAATGTTCAGCGTCTTTTACAATGTGATCTTCTATCTAGCTTTCATTTTTTTTTTTTTTTTTTTTTTTTTGAATGCTTCGCAGATCTTTTTCCTTGGTCGTTTTCTGAATGAAATTTCACTCGAATGAAAGTCCCTCGGAACAATCTTTTAACTTGACTTGATTCAAAAACTGATCGTATGGTGTGACATAAGACTTCGTTAAGTAACACAATATCTTTTTTACTTTCTTTTTTTTTTTTTAAAGCCTGGGATAATAAATCATTAGAAGTGAGTAACATGTTTGCCCACAGAAGGTTAATTGTAACTCCCTTTTTAAAAAATGTGAATTTGCATAAAAATCCGTGGTCTGTCGATTATCATTGTGATGCATAATGACGTTTTAAGTAAACGAATATCGAAAATATAAAAAATTAAATTAAAGTGGAAATTAAGGTGGAATAATATAGGATAATAACTATATCTACCTAAGAAAAATCTCTGGTGCGATAAAGTGACATTAAAGTATAAAGATCAATTTCGTGTATTTTTCGCGTATTTTTTGTGTAAAATAAATAATTAAGGGATTTAAGCAAAATGGAAGCCAAAGACACAGTGTTGAATTACTTTCCAATGGCAAGAAATTGTAATCGCATACAAGATACAATTGGACCCCTCGAATCGGTGCAAATATACCTACATGGACTGGATATTTCCTTTCTCAATCCCACAAGAGAACGATGTGTAAATCCTTTAGACAACATATCACGTGCTTGAACCTCCCCAACGTCTCATTCCCAGCCCTACTACATCTTCACCCTTCAAGGAAAGGAACGTGCTTTCTTTTTTTTCTCTCGCTATAACAGATACTGCCACCGACGATAAAAGCATTCGAACGTTTACCATAGGAAATTTGTATGAATGTAGCTGATGCGCGTGTTGTGCGAAACTTTTTGAAGTTGTAATCAGCGTTGCAATACTACATCAGTGGATTTTCATGCATTTATGGGGAATTTATAAGAATATAATACAAGTTCAAAGCGAAATGTTCAAAATACTTGTTATAATATAAATACTTGTAATGTTCAGTAGATGAAATAAATTTCGACTTGGAATTACAGGGAAGTTGTCGAATTTTCAATATTTTTTTAAATAGAAAAGGATTTCAAGATTGTATAGATCTTGATTAATTCGTAGAGTATTCTTAAAATATTGATCAACGTTTTTTTCACATTATATTGTAAAATTTAGTAGATGGAAGAAATTTCTATTTAATTTCGTGTTTGCAAAACTATAAAAATCTGTAAAACTCCTTCTTTGGTTTCATCGATAAGGTGGTGTTAGATCATCGAGTTTGAATCTCAAAGGAACCATGTTTCATATACGTTAAGTTGATAATTTCACAGTGTGAACACAAATAGCAAAAGGAGAGAGATGCATTAGAAAAATGTTCAATATTCTACTTATTCAAGACTTCACAAAGTTTCAAACAAAATGACAATCCTATGAATGATTTAATGATTTCCGCCAGATTTTTACGATTTATAACGACGTTTCATATTTCATTAATTTAATAATCACGAAGAAGATTCAACATCGAGGAAGATCTAGATGCATAAATGGAAAAGAGAGAGAGAGAGAGAGAGAGAGAGAGAGACGTATAGAGAAAAATACTGAATTTTCTGATTTGTGATTAAATTAACCTCACAATCCCAAACGTTTTAATTAATATTCTAATGAATTCATCAAGATCTTTATATCTTATTTATCGTAATTCCCTTGATGTTTATGATACAGTGGTGTATCATCGAATGTATTAACATCGATTTAGCATTTACGATACCTGAACGTTCTCACCCCCCTTTTTGTCGATATTGCAAACTCATGTGAAGGAAATGTGAAGGAACGGGGATGCGATGAGAAACGCAATATCCGGACAATTCGAAAGCTAAATGCGCTAAAGTTGAATCAGTTGAATATCGAAACAAATCAGGGACTCAGTCTGCCATAATTCAGACTTTCGTTGCTATTTGCTGAGCGATCCGTCAGAACACCGTAAGCTTCAAAGTTATGTTTAAGTTGTTGAACTATGCAAGAGAGATTCGCTCGTTCGCGTTCACCCTGCCTGGTGAAGGAGAAGGGTCCTGGATTATTTCACCGATTTCTCTGGAGGCTTTTTCCCTTTCTTTGCACTCTCTTTCATTCTCTCTCTCTCTCTCTCGCTCGCTTGTCTTTTCTTTTCTTTTTTCCTTTCTTTCTCAA